ACGCATGCTACTAGCGACACCTCGTACAGTAGTTCCCAACATGTTGACGGAGATGGTATGTGAAATTGTCACGGTTCCAGCTCAATCTTCCGACCAAGCATTGATTGCTATCGACATACAGATATGTACACGGCTGGGCACTTTCTATGTCTGTATGCATAGTACGCTCGAGACTGCGTGAGTCCAGATTGACGTCTTGGTTTTGGTCGCTTTACGGAATGATTGAATAACCGCAGTGTATGGAATTGTTTGGATATGTACTGACCATCTCCACTCTGTTACGATGTGTCTACTGCTGTACCACTCTAATTCAGCCAAGACATCCAGCACGGCTGTCATCTGAACCGTTTAACATTCTTACCTTCAAGAAGGACTATGGATGAACGCAGAGACTCAGGGACTTTTGTTAGAACTACATAACCTATAGTGCCCTTCCGACCTACCACGTTCTATACCGCACCAAACACTCTATTCTACGACTCAGGGGTCTACAGTGTATCCCCCCACACCGGCCGTGTAAACCCGACTGTACCTTCTGGGCGCTGACTGGCCGGCAACAACGTAGGCATTGCGCTGAGCCTCCTCCATCCTCGGTTTGGGCTTATCTACTTAGGGTGTAAGGGTTGATACCGGCGGATTTTGAAGTTCAATTCAAGTTTAGTAGACGCGATGCTTGTCAGAGTGCGGTAGTCAGCAGATCTGCCCGAACCCAGAAACTCCTCAGCCCGCTAGGGGAATCGTTGTGTAAGACGGCCCGGCACGGAAACCGAAATGCTCCCGACTTTTTTTTTTTTGGGGGGGGGGNNGCCCTTTTCCAACTGCAGATACAGTAGAAGTCCTTACAACTGGCTCCCGACATCTTCAGAGTCTAGAGATATGGCGAGGAAATCCCTATGCTTAGTTTGGCTACGCGTGAGTTACAAGTCTGTGGATACTGTGATACTGGTTCTCAGAGCGTGGACAGGCGACTGGGCACTAGGCACCGACTGGGCTCACCCCGAAGACATGCCAGTGCTGAGGTCGGTGCTCATCCGGGGGATAGGCCTGAGCAGTCTCAGCGCTTGCATGGATGTGCCAGACTTTGGCTGCTGAGGTGCTGGCACAGAAATGGATCTCGCAGAAACTGGGCCTGAGACTCGAGGGTTTTGGGGCCAAAAACGTCCAACAAAACCATGGCGGATTGGAGTGTCATTCTTCTTTCCTTGGGTGCGGGGCATCTCCAGGCAAAGCAGCAGGCCTTTGAGGCTCTCCAGGAATCGCTCCCGGCTCAGCCTGAGCAGCCCGCGGCTCGAGGTGTGCGCGCCGAAGCTGCGGAAGCTCCGAGGTCTCGACTCTGACTGCGGATTGTGGTGCTCCTCCATGGCTAAGGCATATATAGGGTTTATAAGGGTTTAGGGCTTCAGGTCTAGGGTTTATAGGGTCTTTGGGGCTTAGGGGTGTGAAGATCAGGATACGGACTCTTAAGCCCGACCTCTTGAGACTGCGCCCAGCGCACGTAGCTGGCGACGGCATCAACCTTTCGAGCAGGTCAGCTGGGACAGCAGTGATTGCCGTGGCTCCTCATGAATGGGCAGGCTTCAAGCGCGAACGCCACTGGCAGAACTCCGCTAGCGCTCTGCGGATGTCTTCTTCATGGCCCCCGGCGGCGAAGCTCTGCCAGAAGGTCAAGAAGACGATGCAGTGAAGGCTGCAAAACTTCAGGGCCTTCCCATGTTGGAGCAAAGCCTATATGCTTCACTTTGCATCACTCTACGACTCTAAGATTATTACTGTTCAGCTGCAATTAAAAAATGTCTTTGGATCTAATGCATCTAATGCAAGACGGCTCAGATGCAGGCCGGATTCAACTTCAAGAACTTCTCCAGGTGAGGGCGCGTCTCACCTAGAGCTGCCCGGAGCCACCGTTCCCACTCCCCCCGACCTTCCCTGAGGCGTCGGCGCTGGAGGAGTACCAGGTGGTACATCGCACAGAGGCAGCTGACTCCCTTGAACAAGGGTGGCCTCGACATGAGTGCAGCGACTCTTTCGGTTCTGAGCCTCATCACAAGTGTTCGGGCTGAATCTCCGCTATGGACTTATAAGATCACGCGAACTCGAGAATAGCCGAAACGAGGAAACACCCAACATCCTCACATCCAAAGCAATCTTCTGATCTGCCTTCCGAAACAAGTCGGCTCCTGTCCGCCCTTGACTTAGAGTTGCTTGCTATTGCAGCAAAGCGCAATGCATCAGCTTGCAACCGGATACGGTATTTCGTACTGTTGCTTGGTGCCCGCTTATGCCATGCCGTAGTGCTGGGCTTTGTTGCCATATCTTGTAGTCGCCTGTGATAGACTCTCATGTTCCGTCGCATGACTGTGTGTGCGAATTGTGAACTCCACTGTGCAATGCAACGTACTGCACTGCTATCAGCTGTTTCGGATGGCAGCTTCAGAAACTGGAACATCCTGATATACCCTGAGACCGGAGAATCCTAAAACCCAAAGCCCTAAACCATTAAACCCTGGACCAAAGTGATGAAGATCGAAAAAACAAGCGCCAAACAGCGCATGGAGGTGGAGAAGGCCGCGATGTAATCTGGCCAAATCCGGATCCTTGCAACGCTGTTCCGGGATTATTTAAGTATTGTGGTTGCACGTCTGTAACAACGATGCTGTGCTGATGATGGTGATGATGCTACTACGTGCAATGTACAGTAAAGGGAGTTCTAGTGATGGTGCGAGGGCGGCAAGCACGCCCGGCGGTTCCGTGCTTCGAATTTCGCGGCTTACGCTCTCGCCACCTACTGTACCATGGCATGCATACCCTGGCTGCTTTGCCATGTAAATCGTGCTCCTGCCGGTTCCCCTTCAAGTCGCTCGAAGTCGCTGGCAAGGGTTCGCAGTTCGGGTCCACGGGGCTCTTTGCTAAGATCTGGCCAAAACCGAGATCGTGCTCCCCCCACAGTTTCGCATTCAGGCAATAGTTTTTGCTATCATTACTTGCGTCACTGATATCTACATCTTTGCTCTTGTTACTGATGACGACGATGCTGCTGATTCTTGACTGATTGTTGCTCCGAGCACTATTGCAGTCATGGGAGACAGTCGTCAGTAACACTATGACTTCTGACATTGTTCATCTTGCCAGTACCATGCTACGTACTCATCAGGATGAATATTCGACAGCTGCTCTCGCTGCTGTGGGTTCTTCACTATCATGACAAGCTAGAGAGGTGCAGTGATGGAAAGGTATAAACGTGCGTGATGGAGACAGAGCTTGGTACTCGAATGCAGATGAAGGCACAGACGGTGGTAGTGACAGACGGAGGGAGATGTAGCTGGACAAACTAGTTGATGGATGCCTTGACCGACATGGATGTACACCCAGAGAGAGGTAGACAAACAGATTCAACAATGTGCTGATTACATACACCCCGGAGTGCACACAGAAGTTGTCCTAGGCCATGGGCACGCTCCGTTTCATCTCGTCACAGCCAGAAATACCATGTGCAACCTTGCTTGAAAGGCAGAACCCCGTCAGTGGACTGTCATCTGTAGGAGCATCTTTCTGATTCTTCTGAAGGATGGCCGCTGTGAGGAGGTCCTTCAGAGAGCGCCACACGATGGTTGTCATCAGGAAGAGACACGGCCTCGGCAGCGAGGCTTCGACTTGGCTCTGAGGTAGCGCCTTGTGGGTTCAGGTACTAGGTATAGGGGGTCTTTATGAGTTTCGACTCCTGAGAGGATTCGGGTTCAACTGGGATGTTTGGGGTGTAGAGGGTTCAAGATTTGGGCTCTGGGATAGGGTGCGCGGGATTTCAGATTGCTGGCGTTTAAGAGTAGCAGCGGCCCACGAGCTACGCATAGCCTTCAAATCCCAAACTCCGAAGCCTGGGACCCTCTACGCACCTAATATAGGGGCCTTCATAATTAGAATAGGGCTCTGGGGTATATTGTACTATAATCATAATAAGGAACCCCCAAAATCCTATTCTAATTATTAAGGCCCCTACATTACTAGTCCTATAGCAAATCGGGCTGCAGGGGCCTTGAATGGTTTACTGGCCGCAATAATTCGCATAGTCGTTTGATGACGCATATCGTACCAGAACTACACAGGCATTACTAGGTGATATTTTGGCGAATCCCTATATCTCCCCAAACACAAGGAGCATCGCTGGGATGCCTACGTGACGAGGGAGTACTGCAGGATGCTGATCTGAGCTTGAAAGCTCTAGGGTTTAGGCGGTCTAGGGCCAGTCTAGGCATTAGGGGTCAGGGCAAGCCTGGGATTCTGGAAGCTTTTGGGCCTTCGATTCGGGCTGTTTCGTTGCTTGGCCGCTTAAAGCTTCAAGCTCCAGGGCTCGATTTCGTGTCCTAATTTAGCCTTCTGCCCTCGGCCGAAGCGGTCAAGGGGTCCTTCTTTACACTCCTCTTCATACGCTTTCCGGTGACCCCCCCCGCTTCCCACCCCCTCGCCGCCGCCGCCCCTTCCCCCTCCCCCTGTACATCTGGCATCCGAGAATTTCGCAGGATGATCCATCCCTCAAAACTGTCTCTGAAAGGCACGGATCCGCAAGTCAGGTATCCCGATTTCAGTAGCATACTTTGCGTCTGGATGCTCCCAGCCTAATTGGCTTTGCCACATCGCGGACCAAACTTCAAAGCTCAAACGCCGCACCACCAAGCATCTCGCCTAGTCCTTACCAGCATGATGCCGAAGATACCGCAGCTCCCAAAAGGTCCGCATGCCAGAATGACCAAGGCTCTGACTGCGTTGCTACGTCAAACAAATGTCGCAAAACTCCATCTTGATTTAGGATTTTCAGAACACCAATAAACACCCCAAATGTACTGTAGTGCAAGGACGCTACAAGGATCCCCGAACAAGGTAACCCAAATTTGCAGAAACACCCATTTCGCAGAGGCCCCGACCGTAAGAATGCTTGGGGCTCCCGGCAATAACCTTAGAGACAAAGCTCGGCCCCGGTCGATACCTCGGCAAAGCTCAAGGGTGCTCAAAGTCTTTGTGAGTGGCCAACGGAAATACTTGGAGGTTCATGGGTAGTTATAAGTACGGTTATAAGTCCCCTAATATGGGTTATAACTACAGTTACCTTACTTATAACCCCACTTATAACTGCCCATGAACCTCCAAGTAGAGTCTATAGAGAGAACTGCAGAGTGGGCGGCGGGGGGAGTGTGTAGGTCCTGCGGGTACTTATAGTATAATAGGCCCAAAACCCTATTCTAACTGGTAAGGCCCCTATATTGTAGGCCCAAAACCCTATTCTACAAGTAACTGGTAAGGCCCCTATATTAGGTACCTTTCTTGTGTGCACGTTGGGTATGCTCTGAGTGTCCTCCGACTGCGGCGCGGCTGAGGAACCCGCGGAGGTACACAGAACCTCGGTGGGACAGCAAGCCCAGCCGGAGATACAGCAACCCTTCAGGCCCAAAAGCTTTAACATAGGGGCCTTAATGATTAGAATAGGGTTTTAGGGTATATATTACTATGACTATAATACGGAACCCCCAAAACAGTATTCGTATTTATTTAGGCCCGTATATTGCACGAACTAAACACCTGAAGCGGTCGTCATGACGCATGATAGGCTTAGGCGGGAACTGCAGCAGACCCAGCTGATCCACAGGGGGCTGCTCTTGCTCCTGGAGGTCGGCGGCTCGCTTGCTTCGCATAGGTCTACTGTAACACACCGTGACTCACCGTGGTTGAAGAACACTCCTGCAGCTCGAGAATGGCTTGTGCGGTGATGTGTGTATCAAGCTGCAAATAGCTGCAGGAACTGGTCCAGAAGACTGTTGGAGAGCTGCACCGGCCCACCGAGGAAGGAGAGCAAGAGCCTCGCGCCCACATTTGTAGTCCCGCGATCAAGTTAAAACCCTTCTTCTTAAACTGCCTTGCTCAAGCTCGCCGGACATTCTCGTCGGATGCTCTGCTTCGAACCACTACAGCGGTCCACTGCTCTCCGAGGCCAAGACTGCACGAAGGAGCACACTGCCACAGCCTGTCAGCTTAGTGTCGATAACAAAGCAATGGGGTGGGTGGGGACACTGCAACAAACCAACGGCCAACTCAAGCACCAGTCAGTCAGCAAATACGCACCGCCTCCGCAATTTCGCGGATACAGTGCAGCAGCATCACGAAGCCGCTGTTGCTGCCCTGAGCTCGGTGCCAACTTGACGCAGCTGCTCTTGAGACGCTCACAACTTCGATCATTCCCGCACTTTGCTATTGCATCTCCCCACTCTCCTCGAAGTGCGATTGCAAAGTCAGTATGGAGCCTCCAGCCAGAGGTCTATCCAAGCATCGACAGCGAAGATTGGCACAACCTGGCCGAAACCCCTTTCGTGTTTACAGTAGGGTAAAGGGGGCATGCATGCATGCATGCACGTCCCTCACATACTTGGAAAACTGGCACGCATGGATACATGCATGCCTACGTAGATACATGCCAACATGCGTGGGTACATACACGCGGATACTATCTACAAACTGGTCGTAAGCAAGTGTGCAGTGTCATGTGTGCAGTGTCATGTGTGTGCAGATAGCTGAAGTGTCCTACGGTGACGGAGTTACCTGCACATACACAAGCACTCAATGTACAGATACGGTACACGTGCGGCAGAACCCAGATAGGAGGCATCGCTTCACTTCCCGGTATGTTTCGATCCACATATGGAACTATCCTTTTTACATACCTATACGGTGCATCTACTTAACCAGTTTTGGGGTATATCTACCTATGCCTATTCGTCAACCTATCAGTTACCATATCTACTGGCTTGCAATGGTGCGCTCAAGAGTCGTGCTGCGTGCATGTGTCGATGCATACACATTAATATTATACTCAAAATTACACATACATACACATATACATATACATATACATACATGTATACACATATAGTATAACTAGATAACGTACACAAGCACCTCTGCATGTGTATGCATGCGTGCTGACCCCGAGGATTCGAAGAGCGAAGCGCTGCAAGCCGGAGGACGCCCGCTTGCAGTGCCTGCGCGGGGGTGGGGTGCTTTGGGGTCTGAGCTCAACCAGATCGGGTTGGGGCCCATAGAATCTCGGAGTGTGTCAGTGTAGGATGTCGAGCAATCTCCGCGTTCGTAGAATTCATCTGGATCTGGGAAAGTCTCGGAATCAAACCAGTGTGAATGATGAAAGCACCATCAAGATACGGTCCTCCCCCCCCAACCCAAAGTCCTGCCTGTAGATCAGGATGCCCGACCGCACGACAGCATAACCTGCTCCCAGGCCGCCTAAGACCTGCGAAACGGCAGAAGATCTGCAGTCTTTCATCGCTTCAAGGAGAGCCCCCTAAGCAGTCCTTGGGGTTTGGGGCTCGGGTTTTCTTTGACGGGCCCTTTTGCAACTCACATAGCCAGCTGGAAGTCCTGCACTAGGGTTTCGGATTCGGGGCTCAGGACTTTGTAAGGCAATGCTGGATAGCAGAATCATCGCCAGGAACATCACCACCCCAAATCATCGTGAGTCTTGATAACCGCAAAACGATGACTGTTATGTCACGTGGTTCGTCGTATTTGGTAATGTCATTGCAATGCCTCCCTTCTCATGACCACTCTAGAGCAGACTACGTAAGTAGTCAGAGCCACACACAAAGGTCATGTTTGCTCGCAGGGCCATTGCTGCCGGTGCCATTTCTCGCGATCATCACCATCGTCGTCAAATCCTCATCCCCATGATCCTCACCATCACCATCAGCGTGATCATTGACAATATAAGTAGTATTCGACAGTTCGGATCTTCTGCGTCGTCATCATCATCATCATCCTCAGCTCTATTTCCCCAATCCAACGTTCATGCCTGCTCCGTGTGGTAGATCTGAAAGACCTGAACATGTAACATGTCATGCGTCCCGAAAATGACCCCACCCACTTTCTGCACCATGCAAAGGCAAGCTTGCCGAGGCTGTACCCAGACTGTCTGGCAACTCGATAAGCGCGCGGATGCCGTGCAAGCATTGCGGAGTGCTGCGGCCGCGCCTTCCTCTCCACCAGAAGCTTCAGCACGAAGAGTAGCAGCACCTACGCCGACTGGGAGATTTCAGCGCTCACATTACTTTAGGCGGTGGGCGTATGGCAGGCGAAGGCCCCATGAGGCTCCGGCGGCGCCCAGCACGCCGGCGATGACCTGAACCCAGCCGACACACCTGACGTTGTTCAATTCGTGAGCTCATTCAAGCAAGGCCCGACCCAGATTCTGTTAAAGCTGATTGCCTTAATCATTAGAAAGCCAAGAAATCTGGTTCTGGGATACATCATGCTACAATATAGAAGGACGTCTGTAGTGTGCAGCGCAGCCCGCCGCAAGCGCAGAAGAGGCTTTGCTTAGGACTGAGGACCTCCAAGCATCGGCAGGCCGAGGCATGTGTACCCACAGCAAACTTCTACACTACGAAGTATACTTGGTGCCTTTCCCGTTGCACCCCATGTGCGAATGTATTTCACGCCTCCCAACTCACAGAAGTCATGTGCGACCCTTCTTGCGCCTTGCTTGCAGCAGCGTATACAAGAAGCAAGTCTACAAGATAATAGCCGCCCGAGCGACTCTCAAGCTTGTTAATGTTGCTGAATTCTGTCTCCTTGGCTTCTGGGCCAGGAGTTCACCAGCTTCGGGCTGGGGGCCACGCGGTCTGGCGCTCTTCGATGTCGATCTTTCCTACCGGGGCGAAGGCATGTGTGACCAAGGATGGAGCGGTCTCCAGCATGAGAAAGCTCAAAGACCCTCTCCATCCCCGGCCTCTTCAGAGCCTTCGCCTTCGACCAAGCAGTACCAGTTGAAAGGCCCAACCTGCTGCCCCAAAACCACAGCACACGAGACCATCCACGACCGACAAGACGAGACACAGTCGTCTTGAAGTCCTACCTACGAGTCCAAGTGAACACAACGTGGCGTGAAGGGAGCAAATATGCCGCCTTGACATGACAACAGTGCTGTACATAGGTGTGGAGCAAACCTGTAACAAGGCCCCATGACCGTGCTTGCATCTCCCAAGCATCGTCGTACCGCAGCAAAAACAGAAAGATGCAGCACTTCAAGGACATGACGGCATATGCCACAGATGCCAAACGTATGGACCCCCGCCCTCAGAATGGAAGCTGGATGACACGAGGGGCCTTGATTGCACACCAGGGCACTCTGAAGCGCGGCCTGTGCTCTGATATCTCTGATGCAAGGAAGCCGCATGCTCGCTACCATACCGCAGGTATTGAATCCCCTACCAACGGCTCAGCTGCTACAATCGATGAACTTCCTGTCGCTGGGATCCAGTGGCAGACGCTCGGCTGCAACTGGGCACAAGGCGAGTCCATATCTCCATTGCACCGACGCTGGCGCAGGCCGCTACACGGACTTCCCGGGTGGCTCTTACTTTACTCCACAGCCTACGTCGAAGTATGAGATAAGGCTTGGATGAACCCGTCACCGAATAAGGCTGGCATGGCCGGGACTCCCATCTCTGTCTCATGGTAGGCTTGCAAGCTGCATCTGTGCTCAAGCAATGCTGGCCGTTCAACGAGTCTAACGTCCGCGACTGGGTTGCCTTGATTTCAGCCTTCAGAACTTGACCGAGCCAAGAAAAGCAGGCATGACATCAATGCCTCACAGCCCCTGATTTAACCCCTTCATCCACCGAAGTCTTGGGAAGCGCTTCGCAAAGTCAGGGCGCAGGGACTTCACCATCAGGTGATTTTCATGGAAGCGGGGAGAAACCCAAATTGTTTAGAGATGAGTTGTAGATGATGATAAAGGGGCCCAATTGCCCTACATGATATTTACGAAACACTCCTAAAAACCCGGTGGAACCCTACAAACCTTCTGAAAACTCCAATGCAATCCACAAACTAAGCCCTATACACCCTAATTCAGCCTCTAAGAAAACCTCAACCCACCCTACACCCTAAACCCCAAATCCTCAACCCACCCAGAAAGCCTCTCAAATCCCAGGCTCCTCGAGGCCGGGATGGGCTGTCACCTCGCCGCGGACGCTGCTTAGCCCAGGCTCTCCATGGGAAGAGAACATAGGGGTGAGGGTTGAAGGGTTTAGGGTTTTGGGGTCGAAGGATTAGGGGCTTAGGGGGGGGGGGAAAAAACAAAATATATATATATATACCACATGGTGAGTACGCAAAACATTGCAAAAAGGCTGTGACTGTGGCAAAGAACTTTACCCACGTGCGACAGGAATGCTAGCCGCTGTGCAACAAGATGCTCTCCACAGACTCTTCTGCCCTGGCCCTTGACAAAGAGGGAACCTAATTGCTGCCGCAGAATTAACAATAGTAGTAACAATATTGTTTTCGGTACTATCATTATTAAATACTACTGGCAGTACGTATAACAATAATTATCAATATTAGTATAGCGTTTTCATCGCTTTTAACCCCCCTGAAGCGATTTCGTGTGGCTTTCTCCTTGTTGTGTGTGAAGAAAACTTCTTTATTCTTGTTGTCTGTTGGAGAAGGTGTTTTACCTTGTATTTCTTCGCCTAAAGCCCTCTGAAGCGATTGCGTGTGGCTTTCTTTCTTGCTTAGATAAGCCTTATTAGACCTTAAACCCTAAACCCTAAACTAAGTCTCAAGGGTCCTTATCAGTTCGGGGCCTTGGGATCAGGGTGAAGTGGAGCTCGGGGCTCGAAATGACTTCTACCTCCCTCCGTTCTCCTACCACGCAGACCGAGACAGAGAGACCGAGACCAACACAGACAACAACTGCTGGAAAGGAATGCTTTTTTGATGTTAGGATCTAGGTTTTCGGTTTGGGGTCTCGGGTGTAGGGTTTAGGGTCATGCACACTACCTCAACAAGACATATTCGAAATGCACCTGGCAGGAATTCCGGCGTAAGCCCTCATCAGGCACAATGCCGATAAGCGACATGCCACTCAGATTTTGGAACTAGCATGACCCTCTCTTGTATAAAGCCTTGCCGTTGTTCCAGCAGCATTCGGGCTGGACATTGTTATCCAGG